TGTCTCATTGATTCTGCACGAAGTGAGGGGCCTCAAAGTTTGGTTACTTGGAATTCTATGCCTCTCTCTCTCTCATTATAGGCTACTGGTAATATGTTTGAGTTTGTTAGATGCCTCAAGTAGTATTTTTTTTAAAAAAAATAATTTGTAAAATTAGACAGTAAAACTGCTTTCAATAGGTTTGGATGGGTCAATGCAAGGTCTGGGTTAGCACATGAAGCCTCTTCATTTGTTCTTTCCTCTTTCAAACGCTGAAAGAGCTGTTGATTTGGAGTTGCTGGAGGAAAAATTAAGGAATTCTGGCATATGCTCTTACATATTACTGTGATATTCAATGATAAATCTGCTGATGAAGCCAAGCTAGATGAGCTGTGATCAACTCATGCTTGAGCTGTCAAATGCACATGTAAATGTCTCTGTCATTGATGAAAAGCTATTTAGTTATATTAGTGTCCCAATCATGCATGGATAACATGAATATTGCATAAGAGATGAGGCAAGCTGTATCTCCCTTGCCTGGGGGGCTTAGTTAGTAATGCACTTAAAATGACATTCCAGACTTGGAATGTGGTTTATGGTAGTGTGCTGAACTGGTTTGTGAGTGTCATGCAGGTCCTTGATGGTCTTCTGTCTGAATATGAGACAACTTGTCATGGCCCGGGGAAATGTCAGAAATTAGCAATGTTCCTACAACAAAGGTCTGGATCTCGCTCTCCCTTTTGGTTGTTTTAAGGTTTTCATTTTCTATTTTTTCCATCGTTTTATAAACAAAAACTATTTCAATCCCCAGTTTGGAAGGTTCAATACTTGACCTTGCCAAGCGGCTTAATGATAAAATTGGATCCGAGAAGAGTTCTCTTATGCTGAGATGTCACTCAATGGAGGATAAAATGGCATTACTTCACAAGCAGCTAGAAGCTAGTGAGAAAGATAAGTCTGAATATATGAAGCGCTATGATGAAGCTATTAATGAAAAGAAGAAGCTTGCTGATGACTATATGAGGCGCATAAATGATTTACAAAGTAATCGTGGCTCATTGGATGAGAGGTGTTCTAGCTTAGTGAAAGCATTGGAATCTGCAAAGCAAGAAACATCCAATTGGAAAAGAAAACATGATCAAGTGTTATCAAAGCAGAAAGCTGATGAAGAGCAGGCAGCTTCAGAGATTGCAATACTCAAGTCACGGAGCAGTGCTTCTGAAGCAAGGTTGGCTGCAGCTCATGAACAAACAAGGTCAGCTGAAGAAGACGCAGCAGAGTGGAAACGGAAGTATGACATTGCTGTAAGAGAGACAAAAGCTGCTCTAGAGAAGGCGGCAAATGTGCAAGAAAGAACTAATAAAGAAACACAACTGAGGGAAGATGCACTGCGGGAAGAATTTTCTAGCCGTTTGGTTGTTAAGGTAAATTGTTTCTGACACAGGCACTTGTGCTTGTGCACGGAGCATAAATTTATATTTGTTGTTTCTTTATACGACCAGAAATTTATGATTTCTATATCAATGGATATGCAGGAAGATGAAATTAAGGAAAAGAACAGGAGAATTGAGTATGCGGAGCAGTGTTTGACTACTTTAAATTTGGAGCTAAAGGTATGCTTCTTGGAGCCCGTGACTGGGCACAAACCATTATATATCCCCCCCCCCCCCCAAACCACCAAATATGCATGCACCTTGGGTAAAAAACCTTATGGTGGTCGCAATTTGTCCATGTGCACTTGCAGCAATTTAACTGTAACAAGTCCTTTGCAGGCTGCTGAGTCAAAAATGAAGAGTTATGGCACTGAAATATCATCCCTGAAGCTTGAAATTAAAGAGTTGGTTGAGAAGCTAGAGACTGCAAATACTAAGGCCCAATCTTATGACAAAGAAGCTAGGATTCTGGAACAGGAGAAGATCCATCTGGAGCAAAGGTATCAATCTGAGTTTGAGAGGTTTGCAGAAGTCCAGGAAAGGTGTAATCATGCTGAAAAAGAATGTAAGAGGGCTACAGAATTAGCTGATAAAGCAAGGACTGATGCAGTATCTGCTCAAAAGGAAAAAAATGAGTTTCAGAAATTGGCAATGGAAAGATTAGCCCAAATTGAGAGGGCTCAGAGGCATATTGAAAGTTTGGACAGACAGAAAAATAATTTGGCTGGTGAACTTGAAAGAGTTCGTGCATCGGAGTTGGATGCTGTCTCAAAAGTTTCATTACTAGAAGCTAGAGTAGAAGAAAGGGAGAAAGAAATAGAGTCACTTTTGAAATCAAACAATGAGGAGAGGGCTAGCACAGTTAAAGCACTTCAAGATCTTCTGGAAGATGAACGTAAAGCCCACAGTGTTGCAAATAAGAGAGCTGAAGACTTCTCTCTTCAGTTGGAAGTGGCACGGGCTAAACTAGATGCCCTTCAACAGGAGTTTACTTCAGTTCGTCTGAATGAATCAGCATTGGATAATAAGCTTAAGGCTGCTTCCCATGGCAAACGATTTAGAACTGATAATGTTGAAATGGGTGGAGGATCTGTTCAAGACGCTGTCACAAATGACAGGAGAAATAAGAGGTCTAGGAGTACAACCAGCCCTGTAATGTTTACACAGCCAGAAGATGGTGATTCAGTGTTTAAGGGGGATGATGATGATAATCAGAGTCAGCAAACTGACCAGGAAGATTATAAAAAGTTCACTGCTCAGAAGCTAAGGCAGGAGCTCACAAAACACAATTTTGGTGCCGAGCTTCTTCAGTTGCGAAACAACAACAAGAAAGACGTCCTTGCTTTATATGAGAAATGTGTTCTTCGGAAGTCATGAGAGTTTCATTATCGACATGTACAGGAGTGGTTTGTGTAGTTTAATAGGAGTGTTAGCGAATAGAATAGAGGTGTTTTATGCTCTAAATCGGTTGATTATCTGTGGATTCTCCTAGTTTTGGTACCAAATACCGAGTTGGAAAAATTATTTTGCTGGAACGAACAGGGCTTGTTCTTACCGCATATTGAGGGTGAGGTTTATGGTTTTTTTCTTTTTTTCTTGGTATTTTGAATCTGAACCCCCGTAAGATATATTTATTTGAGTTTGCTTACGGTGGGCCAACCTGATCCGTAGTTGGGGTTCCTGGAGTCTGGACAGCTTGCGTGTAACCACTGTCGCTCTGTTAGCTCTAGGATAGAAGATTATCGAGTGAACTTTATTATGGTTTCAGTCATATTTAGATGTTCTTAAGTTTACTTGTGTGCATAATTCTCTGTTCCAAAGCAGAAGTATGTGTCATAATAGTCTTGTTGCAAATGAGTTTCCATTCTCTCTTGCCTTTTCTTTTTCGAGAGATTGATTATTGGAATAGGTTTTTTAATGAGATACGCTTGTCTCTTGAAAAAAATCCTCGAGGCTAATCTGATCACTGCTGTTGGTTGGCACGAGCCTCTAAAACAAAGCTGACTCGTAAAAATCTCCAAGTACTTGTGTTTGGTCTTAAAGAATGATCGATCATGTGTCAAAATCCTCAAGGCTAATCTGATCACTGCTGTTGGTTGGCACGAGCCTCTAAAATAAAGCTGACTCGTAAAAATCTCCAAGTACTTGTGTTTGGTCTTAAAGAATGATCGATCATGTGTCCGTCTTTAAATCGTGTTCTTGTCCGCACTGAACTGATGAGGACTCTCCATAGAATGGCAACCCTGTTGCTCTCTGAGGTGAAAGAAAGAGGTGTTTTATTTTTGAAGTTGAGAATCCACTGGGGTTTGCCCCAGTGGATGCCTGGTTAAAATTAGCGGCAATTTATTAGCATTCTTAGCTAACAGTTTAGGATTCATGGTGTTCATTGTTATAGTGCCAACTCGATAGACTCGTCTTTGAATATTTGATGGTCGGGAAAACAGACAATGAGTGCCGATCGCAAGGAGAAAATGGGGAAGGTGAAATAGAAGCCGTTGCTAGTTGCAACTTCAAAGAAACTCTTGTATAGTTTCCCATAAGACGTGTGTGTGCCAGTTCCATGGAATGTGCCCTTTTTCCGCTTTTTTTTAATTATCATAATGTCTTCCCTATACAAATTTCCTTTTGGCTTCTTGAAATTTCAAACTCCAAAGCTGAGAACGATTTAAATGATGGTACCCTATGGTTCGTCGAAGAAGAGAAAAAAGAGGGAAAATTTGGCATGCCAACTTTCACAATTGACTTTCCTATGAACCCTCCCTCCGATTGGCTGCATGAATCTCATAATTGAATTTTGCTATCAACCTGGTCTGCTGGGTGGTTAGGATAGTTCTCCAGAACATTCTAATATGGACGGAGGCTCCTGCCTCGTCAAATGGCATTTGGACACAGCGCTCGCCTTGGACTTTGTATTGATAAATTCTTATTTTAGAAAGAGGGAAGGCCCTCCCTCGTCACGACAGTTTCTGCTAGCCAGGTTGGTATTATTTTCAAATCACCATTGATTATTCCTTGACATCTCTTGCCGCTCTTCTTTTTGGTGTTAAAATCTATCCTTCTGTTGGTACATGCATTAGATTAATAAGAGTGTAATATTACGTGAGCGCAAGTCTTTCAGCTTGGGGATTTTCCACCTAGACAAAGCCAGATTCGACATTTCTTTGGCCAAATATTGTTTGTGGCTACATTTGGTCATACCCAATAGAACGTTAAATGTCCGATATTGGATCAGCTGTCATCGAGTTAATTTTTACATGCCGACACTAATTCTATACAACAATATATACCAACAGATAATTGAGCGACCCAGGAAATAAGATTTACACGAACTCCATGCAATTGAACCATTAACAAGCTCATTGAAAAATCTATACAACTAACATGCTGGTGGGCAATAGTTACTGACAGTAAATGAACCAAAAATGGCATACCAAGAAGGGGAGAAAACATAGGCGACAGCGCTACTAAGATACCCAAATGACCAACAGAAGAAAGGTAGCCGGTATAAATCCTTCCCAAACCTCTCCACTTTTCTTCCCTATTTTCATATTCGGTGAAAAAAATGAGATTCTGAGATTTTGACAGTATAAAAAAAGATTTTAGTAAATTTATATATAATAAACATTAAGCGTAAGCTTCTGAAAGAAGAAAGTATATTTGTAAACAATAATCGATGAAGCTCAAGCTAAACCCTAAATGTCAAACTACCTAAGCTAATAGAGTTCTCTTTCTTTACACTTTCTACAAACAATAACCTCAGTACCCTTACATGGGTATAAAAATATCACCTTCAGTACCTTCCAACTCCAAAGCTACGTAAAAGAGCATTACAGCAAAGCTTCCAAAGAACTTGGCTTCATTATCTTTTTTACTAAAGAAGCCATTCACCTTTCTTCTTTTTCTCACTAAAATCTCCATCTAATAATAATAATAATAATAATAATAATTTATATGAGGGTTACACCACAAAAGAAGCAACAACCATGCACTCGGGATGAGTCTTTGTCATTTCTGCTCTACCAAATGCTCTTTCTGATCACATCACTGCTTTCTCTGAAGCTTTCCTTTGCTTGTCTCTGCAGCTAACCTAATATAGGATGACCCGTCACCCTGAACAACCAAATTGGGGAGAAATTGAGGTGGGATTTCACTGCTATGATTGCTGTGCTCATAAGACATAAAAGGTGGATTATAGAACTCAAGGAGACCTGTACTGTTCTTGGCTAGGGGGTGAATATTATCAATATCACCACTTTGATTTGTCGATTTATTGTCAATTGAATCCTTAATGCTTGAACTACATTGTCTGGGCTGAGTTTGAAAGAAAACTTTTGAAACCACCAACTCTCCATCTTTCTCATCTTCGTTGTTTCCAAGATGGTATTGGTGCATTACCCAGTTTGTCTTTTCAGGTTTCCTTTGCCTACCATAATTTGTGTAAAGCACCAGAATTTTTTTGAATCCCTTCACTGTCCCGCCTGCAAAAACTGGCCTGGTCTTGCCTGTTTTGTGCCATCTGGTTTCACTTCCATCTTCATCAGTGTGCACCTTTCTGCGTTTTCTAGTTCCGGTTGTGTATGCCTTTGATGGTCGATGAAAGAAGTGGCGGACTTGGCCATCATTGCTTACTCCTGCATGGTAAGAACGACCACAAGACAGGGAATCATAAAAAAAGTGTCGACCTTTTGAGTAAGAAAGAGCACTAGCAAGAGAAAAAACACTTTAATTTTGGAGTTGCTTCCATACCCACCAATTTTCTTATTTAATGAAACTGAGAAAGCAAGCTAATCAACCATCATGTAAACAAGCCCTAGGCATCGTAATCTTTATTCAAAGGTTTGTTTCTGCTAAACCGTTCTAATATCGGCTTAGCAAGTGTCCCAAGTTAAGAAAACCCTAAATCAAAAGCTAGCAAAAGAGTGGAAAAGGAGAAAAACAAGTACCGTTTACCTGGTAGCTTCTCAGGATGAGAGTAGCAAATTCCATTCTCCCCCTCTATTGTTGGGATAAATTCATCAATTAGAGGATGAAGTTTACGCCTATCTGATAACACCTTTGCTTCTAAATGTTCTAGTATTTCTTGGTCCGTCGGATCAAACTTCACTCCCGCTGGTAGTCCCGGCAAATCATGAATTATACCCCCCTATATATAGACATAGATAAATAATTTATCCATAAAAAAATAAGATAAAAAAAAAATGCAAAAGATAAAATAAAATTAGAACAAGAAGGCAACAGTACCAAGTTCCACACAGCACAGCGTATAGTATACCTGATCTTGAATTTCAAAATTATGGCCACATGAAGGGCAAGTTATCCTTCGAATTTCTTCTGTTTTTGCAGCGACAATAGTATCTTCTTTCGGGTTACTTGTGACTAATTGAATGACTCTTTCATCTTCTGAGTTATTGTTGCACCATGTCATCTCTATATTTTTTGTCTTATTCCCATCCCACAAAGGAATTTTCCCTCTCGTCTCCTCCACTTCCAAGCTTGCTTATCCCCTCAAAAACAAGAAAAGCCCCTCAAAAACAAGAAAAGGAAAAGGAAAGAGAAATAAGAAAAAAAGCTAGCAAGAAAAGAAGAGGAAGTATGATCTACATAGAGTATACAGTTAGCGAAAGCAAAGAAAATTTGTCTCTACTAAAGCAGGTTTTTTGAGCATGTTACTCGAATATTGCCCACTTAATGAATCTTGATCTATATACGTTAGGCAAAGGAATTTAATTCTTCTACACCTTTTCTTGCTTCTTTGATTTATTTTTGTGCACTGAATAAACATATACCTGTAACTAGCTAGAGATTCCTGCACAGAGAGAGATGGAGAATTTGATAAAGGCCACCTATAAAAGAAAGCCAAAAAAGAGGGAGACCGCAGAGAGAGACTGGAACTTCTTGAAATACAAAAGGTTACTTGGACGTCAAGTATGATATGATATTGTATATACGTCTGTATCAAAGAATAAATGCAGTCTTCTTTGCTTTTAGGGTATGTCTACGAACTAGTGTTAATTAATTTAATATTAATGTGTTAACAATTAATATTTTTACGAAAGTTAAATAGTAACAAACCTAATCTAAATTAGAGGAGTCTTAATTTTGAGTGGGAATAGGGCAACCCTATTCCATTCTATTCTCGGACATTTCACCTCTTTGAGATATATATATATATTAGCTCCAATGTCAACCTAGAGTCTGCTTAAAGCTATGTAAAAATTAATTTGTAAAACTGTATTTTCCCCAACAAATATGAAAATAACAGCGAGCTAGCTGTTCGTGTGGGTGTGTGTGTTACACCTACTTTGTGTATATGTGTGTGTGTGTGTATACTAATTCTTTTCTTTACGTACACTTCACATATGTGAATTGATGTTTTATTAATTCATATTTTTAGGTAATTGATTAATTGTATTTTGATACATTGTATTTCAAGTTTCAGATATTATTTTATTTTTTTTATTTCTTATCCCTGCATATAGCAGCCTACGGATGGCTAGTTGATCCATTCTTAAGTGTTAATCTGTATTTTTTTTAAAAGAAAAAGAAAAAGGATACACCCCTTGAAATGCTGAAAAATATATATTTTTTAATGCATCTAGCTAATGTTTTCATTTGAATTAAGAAAGTGAATTCATCATTCCATTTGGGTTTATGTGTTGCATCTAAATTTACTTTAAATATTAATTTGGTTTGATTAAAAAATAATTTAACTTGAATTAATTAATTTTTTGAAAAAAAAATATTTACATTAAAACTTGTAAATTGATTGGTCTTTTTATCATATCATCATTAACATCCTTTTGATTTAAATTAAAATTTAATTCTCATCTAAATTATAATTTTTCCTTGTAAATCAAATTAGATTTAATAATTATAGAATTATAACAAGAGTGGTGGTAAAATCTAGTAATCGATTGAGTAAGGGTGTTGTAAAAAATATGGTAGTAGTTAATTTTTAAAATATTTTTTATTTTAAATATATTAAAAAATATATTTTTTTATTTTTTTTAAAATTATTTTTGGTATTAGTATATCAAAATAATCAGAAAAAAATTAAATTTAAAATAAAAAATAAAAAATTAATTTTTTTTAATTCAAAACACAATATTAAAGCCACGTAAGTTATTTTTTTATTTTTTTTTGGGTGCTGATCGTTTCGTTATCGCAAAGTATTTAAATGGTCAACCGTACCCGTGGAAGCTAAACGTGATGAGGATATGATTGGTGACATGCTGACGAGCGTATTGAAGTTAAAGAAGCATAGGATTATTATTTTGCAGGATGCGATAGCCGCCATCATGTCACGGATAACGCTAAAATGTTACAAGAGCTTCTCCAAGAAGCAACGCAACAGAAGCTTATGCGTTAAGTTTTTTGAGCATCAACTTTAACGTGTCGGTTATAGAATTAGTATTATTTTCATGAGAATTTGAACACGTGTTAAATATTATTTCTTGAAATATTTTTATTTAAAAATATGTTAAAGTATTTTTTGCAATTTAATTTTTTACATTAGTATATTAAAACTATTTAAAAACATAAAAGAATAATAATTTAAAACTAAAAAAAAATCCAAAAACACACCGCTGGTTTCCTCTATTAACATCTGACAGACAGGGGGTCCTTCCCTAACCGTCCTCTCCTTATGCTTTGGCTTCTTCATCACTCTTCTCGTGCGTGGCCATACATATTTACACACGCGTAACTGTGCCTACGTATACATCTTTGAAAAACATAGCTTAATTAATATTTTAAAAATATATTTTAATTCAAAAAATTTAATTATTCGATAAAATTTTAAGAAAGAATTGTATATTAACTGTAATATTAATAATGTTAAATAAATTTGCTTCTCAAGTTCAAATCTTAGAGAAGATTTAAAAAATCAAACATAGAAAGAAGGAGGTGAACCCTTCAATTAAACCTCATTAAAAATAATATTTTAGACTCCATAAAATTAGAAAATAAATACCGCAATAATTATATTAAAAAAATAAACTAATAAACATAAATTCGGATGCGCGTCCAATGGCATGCATTGATATATTTATTACATAGTTATGTGTAAATTATTTTTCAATGATTTAATTGTTTGGATTGAAATAAATGATTATTTTCTCTAATTAAAATTAAAATATTCAACTGTCATTCACATTTTGTTTCCAAGGAACCTTTGATTGCAAAGGAAGCTTTTTATTTTTATTTTTTTAGTAACGGTCAGGTGGAATCATATGATAAAGGCATTGGATCCATATAAGAATTGAGATTGTGGTTTCCTGGTATTAATTAAAGATTGGAGATAACAAATAATATTATAAATTAATTCGTTGATGATTAGAGATATCATTATCGAGTCGAGTCAATTAATCATCGATAGCTTCCCTGCGAAGTCGTGGAATATGGGAAAATTATATGTGGACGGCAAATTAAATTAATTAATTATTTCAGCGTTTCCATGCTGGTTCTGGGATGCATATCTGAGATATTTTATATGGATATGGATGATATTAAGGATTTTTTTAAAATATTTTCATTAAAAAAATTATTTTTAATATTATTATATTAAAATAATCTTAAAACACAAAAAAAGTATTAATTTTAAATAAAAAAATCATTCCTTTTTAATTTTTTAAAAATTATTTTTGAAATAAAAAAATAGAATCTATAAATGAAATAGAACGAGTTTGAATAGTAATGGTTCTGGATTATTATAGTTTTTATTTTTATAGTTTTTTAAAAGTATATTTATCTTGAAAAAAAATAATTTAATTTTTTTATAAATTTTAATTATTTTAATGTATTGATATCCAAGTTAATATATATATATATATATATTATTTTAATATATTTTTAAATAAAAAATATTTTACACCATAATGACTTGCATTGTGTCCGGCAATCATTTTTTTATATAGCAGTGGAATGCCAAATATGATTCACTGTAATTAATTGAGAATTATAGAAAATCATCATATAAATAAATGTGGCGGTTACACTTTTTGTTTTTTAATGGAAGGCCAATCATTTAAATTGATGAAATCCATATTTTATCACTTATATATTTATTGACATATCAATTCGTATGGGAATTTAGTTTAAAAAGAATATGTTCGTATGGTTCAAAATAAGGGAGGAATGAAATTTAAATTATAATTTCATTAGTTTTCCTCTCTATTCCTCTCAAAAAACAAATCTCATTTCTCATCTGCTTTACAAACAAATCTCCAGTACTCTTTCACATATTACTGTTCTTAGTTCATCAAAAGATTGGAAAATGTTCTTATATATACACCCTTTCGTCCTCACAATCCTAAAAGATTCCTAATGCTCCCATCACATCCAACATACAAATTATGTGATAATGAAATATTTTACTGAGAATTACTTTCTAGTTTTGAATTTTTGACTTGGGCTTGTTTGTTTGTTTTTGCCGTGGTAAAATATTTTTGCAAAAAATAAAAAAAAATCTTTATATTAATTTTTGTTTTGATATTTTTAGATCGTTTTGATATACTAATATTAAAATTAAATTTTAAAAAATAAAAAATAGTTATTTTAATATATATTCAAGTAAAAAATACTTTGAAATGTAACTGCTTCCATCGTACCACAATTTCAAATGAACTCTTAATCTCTTTTAAATTATAATTGATTTGACATCAAATATGTTAATTTGTAATGAATTTCATCTATAAATTAAAGGATCTTACATAAGAAAATATTAATTTTTATTTGGTGCAGGTGGCACCTCCATGTTAGGCGGCAAAAAAAAAAAAAGGTGTTACCCTTATAAGGATGCTAAAAGAAATACTTGAAAACCAAGAAAGAAATAGGAACACTTATATATATTCAATGGCTGCAAAACACAGATAACCATATGTTTCTTATAAAACTATGGTAAAAATAATGGTTGAATTAATTTTTAATTCTAACAATGTGTATAGAGTTGTAGATGAAAATAGTAATTCTTATAACAATATGGTTATGGATGCGATGAAAATAAATCAGGGTTATGCAGGTGAATGTTCAATCATAGATGAAGAACTAAATACAGACGCAACCAGGTTTTTTGATCTTTTAAAAGAGTTTGGCAAACTATTATGGTATAAGTGCACAAATCACAGTACATTATCAATCGTTTCACAGGTGTTTACCATTAAGTCAGATTATAGGCTTAGTAAAGTCGGTTACTATAAAAGTATCGAATGGACGAGAAGCATTTTACTTGGATAGGCTAAAAAGGAACTCTTACGCTGCTAAATTCATGATGAAACCCCTCAACCTAAAATACCAGAAAATTGATATATTTTCAAACTTTTACATGTTGCACTACCTTGAAAATACAAATTTGATCGAGGGCAGAACATGTGAGAATGCTTATTATAATCTCAAAACTGGTAAGGGAAGAACTCTTCTTATACATAGAAAACTTGTATATTTTTCAATCAATTCTAGAATACAAAGGTTATTCATATTTATAAAAATTGTTAAACACATGACATGGCACCATTCATATGATGCAATTGATAGAGTCTTGATGCACCCTTTTGATAGTGAGGCCTAGAAACATTATAATATGATGCATCTTCAATTTTTAATGGAATTAAGGAAAGTACATATTAGATTATGTACAAACATATTCAATCAAAAATATTAATATTAATATTAAATATATAAAATTAATATATTTAATATTAAGATGTTATTGTCGGAATGGTTTGAGAGAGTTACAATACAACTAGATAAGATTGACTTTAAAATGTTATATTTTTTTATTTAAATGTTAAAATTTTATTTTTTATTATCTGAACTGATAACTCATTTCTACCGTATAAGTTGTGTGGTTTTTGGTATAAGACGTAAAAAAAGAAAGGAATATG